CAAGATAAAATTTTCCTAAACAGAAATTATGATCTGAAATTGGAATAAAAGCAGTGATATCACCTACCCTGAATCTGTTTCAAGAGTCAGAGAAGAATCTGTGTTTTAAGCCATGATTCAGCTTTGCTTGTTCATCAACACACTCTGTTGGTGAGAGGTCAAAGCATGTCAGATCTAATTATATTTTCCCCTAGAGGAACACAGGTTTGTATCCTGCTGAAGGGTGCATATTTCCCTCTCAACAGATTTCTCAAATATTCAGACTGAAAGATGAAAATTAATAAATAAACAAAATGTCTACTCAAATATGAGTAACCAATGAAAATAATGTTTAAGTAGTAAAAAACTGTCAGATCAATAAATAAAAAATCCATCCTTTTCCATACAAATTATATATATATATATATATATATATAATTTTGTATAGAAAAGGATAGATTTTTTATTATATATATATATATATATATATATATATATATATATATATATATATATATATATATATATATATATATATATATATATATATATATATATATGTTTATTTTATTTTTATATATATATATATATATATATATATATATATGATATTTTTTTATTTTATATATATATATATATATATATATATATATATATATTTTATTATATATTATATTTTATTATATATATATATATATATATATATATATATATATATATATATAATTTGTATGGAAAGGGATGGATTTTTATTATATATATTATATATTATATTTTTATTATATATATATATATATATATAATTTGTATGGAAAGGATGGATTTTTTATTATATATATTATATTTATATATATATATATATATATATATATATATATATATATATATATATGTATGTATGTATGTATGTATGTATGTATATGTGTGTGTGTGTGTGTGTATAAAAATATGACAAACTGGAAAATTTCTTGACACATTTCATTTTCTTTTTTGAAGGAGAAATTTACTCTATCAAATTCAGGAATTGCCAGAATGAATACATTGGAGAAACTTAAAGGAGTTTAAACAAAAGACTATATGAACACAAAAGGGACATTTTAAATAACAACACACAAAATGCATTGGTAGTTTACCGTAACAAAACAGATCACAATTTTGACATAGGGAATGCTACTTTGATTAAATGAGAAAATAATCTACTGAGACGAAAATGTCTGGAAAGTGCCTTGATCGCTAATTCAACCACAATAAATCTGTGTCCAGGCTCTTACAATATGTCACCATTCTTGGTAGATTTTATATTGTCACAGTGAAGGATATTTAGGGACAAAGGTGATGGAGAGAAAAAAAAAACAGATGAATTTGGCTAGATTGAAACAAAAAATATTCTTTCAAAAGATTTTCACACTACCTGCATTTCTTGGCATATGTGTAAACATGACAATATCAACAAAACCCAGTCTGATGAAATCCTAATGGCTGAAACATATCACTAGAAATTTTGCAGTTTGTCATATTTTTCTAAATACTGTTAATGTAAAAATAAAATTATACAAAATTATATATATATATATATATATATTAAAAAAAAAAGAGAAACTGCAAACGTTTTTGGTTGTAATGTATTTTTTTTAAAATATATATTATGCTTTATATTCCATATAGAAAATAAAGCATAATAAATATTTTTAAAAAAATCCACATAACAACCAAAAGCGTTTGCAGTTCTCTTCTTTTTTTTAATATACACACTTCTCTCATTGGAAAAACTATAACCTCTTCCCTATATATATATATATGAAGAAATATACTCTTAAGGTGTGCTATATTTATGAGATAAATGTATGTATGTATGTATGTATGTATGTATATATATATATATATATATATATGCTATTTCAACAAGTTTTGTTAAATTCAGCTGACAAGGTTTGTCTGTTTAATTTTTTTGTATGTTTTACATTTGAAACAAAGTTTTATAAATTGTCCAATCCAAAATTGCTGTCGTGCTGTGTTTTTCTTGATCCTTTTGATTGTCACATTTCTTATCAAGAATTGTGTATGTTGTCAGTATGATAGAAATGATTTCTTATATTCTTAAATAAATTCTTGTTTCATAACCATATTATATATATATGCAGCCAGGCATGTTTTTTTAAATACCTAAAAACAACATGCCTGGCCGCAGACACAATTTTGGAAAATCCTCCTTGAAAACACAACTATACTTAAACATGAAAACAATAAACAAAAACTAAAAATTCTTGAAGCTATATACATAAACCAGTTGAAACCTAACCTGAACAAAATAAACTATGAAATCTCCACAAATATTCTTATATGCCTATAATTGATAATAGAAGCCATTGGTATAAACCAATGGCCTCCCATACTTAATACTTCTCATTTTCACTCTCGCATGGTCATGTGTGATGTCACAAGCTGTGGTGCAATTTTCACTTCCGCATCTTGTATACACGAGTTTGTCATTGCTTAGAAATCTTTCATGCAACTAAAACAGTTGTTACGTTGCTCAGAGAAGAAAGCTAGTAACCTTTCACTAAGGCTTTACTGAACTTAATTCACAGCAGCAATCAACAAAGGAAGAAGAACGCAGCTTTTAAAGAGGAATGGGGACGTGTGAAAAAGTCACGTGGACAGTAAAGATAGTTTCCTATTTGACGTGGACAGTAAAGATAGTTTCCTATTTTCTTTTCTAAAATATAACATTCTCCACCACTTGCAAAAGAGATCGTAATTGAATAGGTTTTATAATTCCAGTCGTTGGATTGGTCTACGAATCCTGCTAGACCGGCGTAGAGGTAGTTCACCACTGGAAGAGCCAGACCTCTGAGAAGGCTGACTTTCAGGATTCTGGCTATTATTCACAGATTCATTTTCCGTGGAAGGTGAAGAAATATTAACGGGACCTGCATCAGGCAAAAGGGTTGAATCTGCGTGGTCCACATCGGGTTGAGTATTTTCAGGTCCATTTTGAGGTCCATCCGGGCGTGGAAAACGTGCCAACCGTCTCAGCGCCACCGAATCTTCAAGGCCATCATTGTGACGTATTTTGGCATGCGTAGGTGTGGCCTCAAGGAGTTCCACCACCTCAACGATAGGGTCATATTTACTTCTGCCATCGAATCGTTTTAATAATACCTCCCCAGGCTCACAGAGCCAAACAGGCAACGCAGTACCGGTGGAGGACCGCCTTTCAAAATTGAACATTCGTTCGTGGGGGGTTGCATTCGTAGTGGTACATAGTAGAGAGCGGATAGCATTTAACACATCATGTAGAACATCCTGCCAAGCACTAATTGGTAACTGTTTCGATTCCAGGGCCAATAATATGGTATTCCAAATTATGCCGTTGTAACGTTCGCATTGGCTATTGCCTCTAGGGTTATAAGCAGTAGTATTACTGAATCCAATTCCAAGTCGTGTTAGAAATTGTTTAAATTCTCCTGACACAAACGAAGTTCCTCGATCGGAGTGAATGAACGAGGGAAGCCCGAAAATGGAGAAAATACTTGTCAGGCACTGAATAGCAGTTTGCGAAGAGCAATCGCGGCAAGGAAAGGCAAAGGGAAATCGACTATATTCGTCGATGACAGTAAGTATATATCGGTAACCTGTCAGGGATACCGGGACAGGCCCTTTGTAGTCTGTGGAGACGCTGAAATGGCGCAGTAGAACAGATCAGAACATTACTAGTAGAATCGAAGAATTGGGGTTTTATTTTGGCACAGGTCGTACATTCAGAAGTCACGTCGGACTTCATCAAGCGAATACGGCATATTCTGAGACCTTACAAAATGCCAAAAAGCGCTGTACCCCAGGATGTATTAAGGAATCGTGTATCGATTTAAGTTCCTTCAAGGAAGAAGCAGCAGCACCACATACTCTGGATAAGGTATCCGCAACTGTGTTTTCATTTCCAGGACGGTGTTTTATGTCGTATGAAAAGGAAGAAGTTCCATTTTCCACCTTATAATTTTATCGTTTTTAATTTTTCCGCGATTAGCAGGTTTAAACATAAAAGATACGGCTTGTTGATCAGTAATAATAGTAAAATGTTTACTGGCAAGGAGGTCTCTCCATTTACGAACGCATTCGACTATAGCATATGCTTCTTTTTCGACTATGTGAAGTCGTATTTCAGAGGGGTTTAGCGACCGAGAAAAGAATGCTACAGGTCGCTCAGCTTGTAAAAAGAGTGCCTCAATAGCCTTTTCTGAGGCATCGGTTTCAATAGTAAATGGCAATTCATCATCAATAACTTTTACAGATGACTCAGGCAATGTCTTTCTTAAGTTTTTCGAAAGAATTTATAACTATAGGAGGCATAGGGAATTGTTTATTTTCGACCAGTGGACGAATTTTGTGTGAATATTTAGGTATCCATTTCGCATAGTAAGCAAACATACCAAGACACCTTTTTAACGAATTTGAGTCGGGAGGAGGAGGCATTTGTAAAAAGTGGCTTCAAACGCTCAGGATCGGGTTGGATAGTTCCGTTACAAATTTGATATCCAAGCACGTTAATAGAACGAAGTGAAAACTCTGATTTTCCCGTTTATTTCGAGGTTGTATGTCGAGGCAGCCTTTAAGAAACATTCCAAATTGACATCGTGCTCCTCCTGGGTTTTACCACAAACAGTTATATCATCTATATACGAAAAGGTTCCAGATAATTTGTTATCAGAAATGAAAGAATTCATAAATCGCTGAAAGGCAGAAACCCCGTTAGTAACACCCATGGGTATTCGTTTAAATTGGTACAGACGGTTTCCAGCTTGAAAAGCCGTATAGGGACGATGTTCAGGGCAAATTTCAATCTGATAGTACGCTTTGGACAAGTCAATTATACTATAGATACGATACTGGGCTATTTGGTTTACGAGATCTTCAATTCGAGGCAAGGGGTAGGCATCAAGTAAGGTGAACCGATTAATAGTCTGGGAGAAATCGACTACCAATCGTTTCTTTTTATTAGACCGTCGTGAGACAGGTTAGTTTTATCCTACCGATCGACACGTGTTACGTCGGCCGTGGCCACGGCTATCCCGTCCAGTACGAGAGGAACCGCGGGATCGGAGCAACGGTTCGCGTGCTCGCTCGAACGAGCGGCGGTGCCACGCTGCCTCCGCGCGATAACGGCTGAAAGCCTCTAAGCCGGAACCACGACCGGTGCCGTCACGGTATTACGAAAGGCATCTCTTTTCGTTCCGCTGGAGCCTGCCATAGCGGGCATCGTTGTCGCTAGGGGCGGTTGCGGTCGTCGTGGTCCGCGTCGGTGGCGCTCGTCGTCGCCGTGCGCGTCCGCTACTTTGGCTGTTGTCACATTGAACGTGGCGGCGTCTGCGAACGGGCCACCCGATTTGACATCCGCGACAGGCGGGATTTTGCCGTCGCCGTCGAATTTCGAACCCCCCGTGGAGCGTGAGACGAGGGATCGCTCGTAGACCACTTGACTCAGGCTCGGGGTGTCGTACTTAGTAGAGCAGCCACCACACTGCGATCTATTGAGACTAAGCCCTCGACCGACTCGAAATGTTATATTTTCGAAAAGAAAATAGGAAACTATCTTTACTGTCCACGTCAAATAGGAAACTATCTTTACTGTCCACGTGACTTTTTCACACGTCCCCATTCCTCTTTAAAAGCTGCGTTCTTCTTCCTTTGTTGATTGCTGCTGTGAATTAAGTTCAGTAAATTGTTATGTTGCTCAGAGAAGAAAGCTAGTAACCTTTCACTAAGGCTTTACTGAACTTAATTCACAGCATCAATCAACAAAAGGAAGAAGAACGCAGCTTTTAAAGAGGAATGGGATGTGAAAAAGTCACGTGACAGTAAAGATAGTTTCCTATTTGACGTGGGACAGTAAGATAGTTTCCTATTTTCTTTTCGAAAATATAACAACAGTCTATCATTATTGTTTTGTCCGTGTATTGTTTAATATATTGAAATGTAATTGTCATCTTTGATAATGGCTTATATAAGACGAAAGCTTAGATAGGATTAAAAAATGTGTATCAATATGGTGATTTTCTTTCATCATCTTTCACTGATAATGTTATTAAGCTTATCAGACAATATGAAAGGAATTAACTTAAAATAAATAAACAAAACTTTTCTATATTATTTAATGAAACATGCATCAATGAAAAAATGCTGCCTAAATACACACAATTTAATATATATATATATATATGTAATTTAGGTAGTTGTGTTTTCACTACGTTCAAGTATAAGCCAAGATTTAGAAGGCTAATTTTCAAGGAGAGGAGATTGTCTTAAATTGGAAGAATGAAACAAAACAATCTTCTTAATATTATTTCTTTTAATTTGGTATCTTGTGAGATGTAACTAAGTTTATTTGAAATTTATTTACCCTTAAAGTTGTTAGGGCTTCAGTCAGTGGGTGAAATAAAATATATTTAATAGAAAATTCTATAAAAAATGGTATATGTGTGCTTAAAACATTGCAAGAATACTGAAGTCATATAAACATATTTGGCAAATACAAGATTTCTGTTCTAGCTCTAACATCTCACTGGGGGGAAAACTGGGGAATTGTGCAAAAATGAGGTGGTAACGAAGACACAACCCAAACAAATAATGACTGACTACTTATAGTGTGGGGGTAGTGTGTAATGTCATCAGCTTGGAAAGAGAAATCAATAAGCTGAGTTCAATTTCAATCAGTTTGTTGCATTCACTTTCTCACAAATGCTTTTGGGGAAAGGTATATATCCAACTCTTTTCCCCACCAGTTATGGATTAAATAGCAGGACAGAGTGGGCTTTCTAGCCTTAGGAATGTAGAAGGACAATTGAATTCAAAACAGGTTGGACATGGGGGTTGGCAACTTCACCTTATAAAACCTATTTGCTAGAGAAACCATGGCAGCAACACTTAGTGTGGTGAGTCTGTGACCGTATACTTCACAAGGGAGTTTATGGAAGTCAGAGAGACAAAGAGAAACATTATAGTATAAAAGCCGCAGAACTATTGTTAATGGCTATATAATTTTTTGTTCTTTTTTTGTTTGTTTATTTTGTATTGATGGCCTGTGTCTTGCGAATATGTGTGCAGATGAGACAATGGTAAGTAGATACAACACCAAAACCTAGATGACCAGAAGTCTGGCAGATGATTTCTCCTCTAAACTAACTTTAACTCAATGTAATGAAAAACTGACTGGTCACATTCAATAACTCAAAAACCAAACTAGTTACATTCCATCATCACTGATTGTATACTGAACTATCACCAGATACAATGAATGGACATTTCCTTCAGGGAGCTGTATACCTTGAACAACTATTGGGCTTTAAACTCAACACAGACCTCAAGTGAAACTCATACATATGATCCATTGTTAAAGGTTACTTGGTTCCTTGTACTGCTCCAGAAAGTACCTCACTCCTACTACTATCCTCTACCTTTACAAGAGCAAGACCAGACCTAAAATGAGTATTGCTGTCATATTTGGTCAATCATCACTTTCCAGTCTTGATAGATTCTACAAGTGTCTCTGCATCCTTGTGGGTGACAAATTATTTTCTACACTACAACCCCTCTCTCAGATGAAGCGCTGCAATCCTCTCACTACTCTGTTGCGACTTCTATGGAAAGTGCTCAGATGAACTACATTCGTTAGTTCCACTAATTCTAACCATTACCATAACCCGCCATGCTATGAGCATTGTAGTGAACCACCATAATTCTTTCCATATTACATTGAGGAGTTTCACTTGAACAGCTTCTTTCAGTGAACTAATGCTCTGTGGAACCAATTCCCAAAAGGATGTTTTTCCAATTACTACAATCTTAACCTTTTCAAGTCTAGGATTAACCATTATCTTCTCCACATAAACTGTACCTCTAACTCAGTAAAACTTTAGCTTGAGTGGCTCCCATGTACAGAGTGAACACCACTGAAAAAATGGTCAAAAACCTTGATCTTTTATTATTTGTGTAAATTGAATTTAAACTGAAGACCTATTTTCATCAGGCCTAAATAAAAAAACCTGAGATTTTCCAATCTAAACTCAGTTGACAAAGAATCTTAGAGAGACCATCTTTCTCATTCTTGTCATCTATGAATTAAATGTGAAAGTAAAAAAATAGATGGTCTAAGTCATTCTTCAAAAGAAATGCTAATATTTTTTAAACTAGATTTTATTTAAAGCCACCTCAAGTATTACTAACGTTTTCTTTTGCATTCCAAAATGGACACTGATCACTACAATCTTAACCTATTCAAGTCTAGAGTAACCCTTCTACTTTAATGTAACCCTCTAACTTGACTGGCTTCCAGGCCTTTTACAGGCTGAACCTTCTGTAAAAAAGCAATTATCACATGGATGTGTGGGTATTCTTAGAGATAGCAACTATGATGAATGTTAATCAAGTTTTTCTTGGTGGAAAATGTTTCATCCTCAAATAAATTTAACATTTAGAAATTTGAAAAATTTCTTTTCTATTTCATTTTGCTTCACAGCAAAATAAATATTTAAAAATGATTAACAACTGGTAAACATCAAAACAAATGTTTTTTTTTCTAAAGAGTTTATCAATATTTAGAGTTTCACTCAGTTTCTTTAAATCTCTATTTGTATTCTCATAACTTGAGATTATGTTATGCAATAAAAAGCTTCCTCAAGATTTAATTGAAAGAAAGACTAAAAGTTACGATTATTATTGCCAATCACTGCTACTCTTTTTTACATATTGTTGTTTGTGTTTAAGTTAAGCAAGAAAGTTAAATAAATTTTAATAAAATTTAGCACTGGGAACTGTGAAATATTTAAAATGATTTGATTTGGAGACTGACAGTTATTGGTGTTTTAAAACTATTGTTGTAGGCAAAAGAATTTAAGATAAATCTAATTGAAACTTTGTGTTTTCATTTCTTGAAAGAGAATTTAAAATGAAATTTATTTGACAAAATGTTGACTTCTGAAAGTTTCCATTAAGATGAAAACTTGACAAATGAGCAGATAAGATAAAATTGATCAAAGTTTTTTAAGGGTTATTTGGAATAAAGCTGTTTTCTTCCAAATTTTAAATCTTAAAATAAAAATTCTGTTATCGTTAAATCATTTTTCTCATACTTAATATGGAACAAAAATAATAACAGCCTAGCATTCTTGATATAAATTCTTTCATGAGATGTTTTTTTTTATTTTGAAACACACCAATTACTTTCCATGAGTGTATTGTGTTAAGTAGGTACACATCGGAAAATTTCTATAGTGACAAAAACTGATGGTATCAGATGTTCAGCTAACATTGTTGAAAGAGAAACGTGCCCTTTGCAAAATAAACTAAAATAATCAGATGATTCCAACTTTCTTAATCAGGTGCAAAAAAAAAAATCAAATATCAACATGAAAAGATCACAAATTGATAAGTAAAAATGCTGTAACACTTTATTATAGAAATGAACAAAGAAGAATTGGATTATAAAAATGTTTTTGCAATGTAGATAAATTGAAAGAGTAGGAATTTGGTGCCACGATTTGCAGAGAGAAAAAAAATCAGCAAATAATGAAACAAAGAGAAATTGGCAAATTTATTTGGAAGTGCTAATCTTAACAATGGTAGGTTTGGGGAAAAGGAAATTCTATTATTAATAAAAAATATAGTCAACTGAAGGAATAGCAAGTTGCAGCCTGTAAAATTTCTTTTATAAAAAGAAAAAAAATATTACCATTAAAATATTAATTACCATTCCATTTTTAACAAGATTGCAAAAAGAAAATGTATGCAGACATAAAGCAAATAATGTGTGAGTATGTGTGTTTATATATATTTATATATTATATATATAATATTTAAAATAATAAACACAACCTACTTCTGCTATCACAGTTTCCACCAATAATTTATTGGTGGGACCAGGGTAGCATAAAGGGTCATTGTTTCTGCACTTTTGATTTTTTTGAACAGACTGTTTCATGCTAAACACAATCATCAGGCTTGACAACTGCATCTAGCATGTATCAGTCTGTCTCCTCTAAGTGTTGACTTCAATGTTCTTTTATATTTACATATGCTCTATCTCTGATATTGAGCACTTTATCCCATAAATATCAGTTAGTCAGTTATGTGCCATGCGTGATACATGCATAGGCGATCATATATCTTTTGATATATAACTGACGAGGCAGATTTTTTCCCACAGTAGGTTGCCATTTCTTTTTGCAGTAGACCAGTTACCATCCAAGGCTATAGAACCCGGTCTGTCCTGCTATTTACCCATAGCTGGGGGGGAGAAGAAGAGGATTCATACATTTCCCAAGGGTATTAGCACGTAAGTGAATGTAACTGAAATTCAAACTCAGCTCTCTGATTCCTCAATCTAAGCTGCTATCCATTACTCCATGGTAGCATACCTTAAAACTATATATATATATATATATATATATATATATATATATATATATATATTTTTTTTAATAAGAAAAAAAGAAGAGTAAGATATAAATCCGCTCTTCTTATTAATATTTTATTTTTTACAAAACTGTGGTCAATGCATATCTGCACAGCATATATATATATATATATATATATATATATATATATATATATATATATATATTATATATTTTAAGACATTTTTATGTTTATACATTCTTTTTT